CAGAATTTACTTTTGCAGAAAAACTGCAAAAGTAAATTCTGTATAGACTATCTTTTATGATGGAACTAACTGATATTGTGCAATTACATTGGCACTATTACATAGTGACGTATATACACGACCATTGAATGTTTTTCGTTCTTCGTATAATACACATATAGGCTGTTTATAACTAGCGAACTATTGTTTTTACTATACGATGACATCATTATACATTCATTTCTTTTTATCTTCAATCTATACGAGATAGATCGAAAATAATCCTTTACTTAGTATCGAAATGCGTCCATACATGCTGCCATAGTTATTTTTGAAATATAATATATATAAGTAAATGAACGACTTAACATTGAAATATAAAACTATTTATTTTAACAGCAGCGAACATTTTTTTCTGTAATTGACAATGTTAGCCAAGAAAGACTATCGGAATGGGGTAGCATGAATTTCGCCGTACTGACTTTCGCACTTGACTTTCGACAATTGCCAAAAGTTGTATTTTTGTAAAATTTTCGCCTAAGACAGGAAGAAACTTTGGCAATTGTCGGACTCCTCAATAAATATATTAATCAAGCTATGAATCATAGAAAAGCAACTATAATCGTGACAGCTAATTTACTTCATGAACTGTGAGCCATAAATGGATCCCAGTTCCATAGAGGAGTTACCTAGTATTTCAACATTCTCTTACGTACTTGAAGAATCATCAATTCAAATTGTAAGTGCTACTAGACGGTATCATCACTCGGAAGGTCCATTAATATTGTTCGAGGATCTATGGTAAGTTGATATAATACACTTAATTAGTTGATTAATATACTTATTAAAGAGTCTTACAATTGCCAAAAGTTATGTTTTTGTTGGACTTTGACATTGACAAAACTGAACTATCGGCTATTGCCAAAGTTCCTTCCTGTTTTAGGCGAAAATTTTACAAAAACACAACTTTTGGCAATTGCCGAAAGTCAAGTGCGAAAGTCAGGACGGAGAAATTCGTGTTTCCCATCGGAATGGCGGAATTCTTTCTGCCAATTGTTTTCGATCTATCTCGTATAGATTGAAGATAAAAAGAAACGAATGTGTAATGATGTCATCTTATAGTAAAAACAATAGTTCGCTAGTTATAAACAGCCTATATTTATATTATATGAAGAACGAAAAACATTCAATGGTCGTGCATATATGTCACTATGTAATAGTGCCAATGTAATTGCACAATATCAGTTAGTTCCATCATAAAAGATAGTCTATACAGAATTTACTTTTGCAGTTTTTCTGCAAAAGTAAATTCTGTCATTTTCGATAGTCTTTCTTGACTGACATTGTCAATTACAGAAAAAAAAATTTCGCTGCTGTTAAAATAAATAGTTTTATATTTCTTTATTCTCGAGACAATATTTTTGAGTTGGGCCACTTTTAGAGAAATAATCGATGAAATTCATGAATCATGATATGATAACTTCAATGAAGTTAGTCTGGGAATAATTTTGTCTAACAACGATATCGGATTCGGTCCACTAGATAATATGAAAAAAAACTATAGCATGCCTAATTTGCACTATGAATTGCGTATTTGACATAGGCATCAAAAAGAAATGACATCAACTGGTGCAATCGAACGAAAAGCACTTGGTCGCCATGGTATTATTGGTTCACTGTACGATATTCGAACAGACACACTGGAAGGAGGCAACTTGTTCAACAAAGAGTTACCGGAGTCATTTATCCGACTTCAGGACAGTGCCAATGTCAGTTATCATATCGATTTCAACAACTCGCAAAAAGAGACATTCAACAATATGAATATTGAAGCCAGTCTGAAATTAAGCTTATTGGGAGGATTGATCGATGTTACAGGATCAGCGAAGTATTTAAAACAAACAAAAACAAATAGTCACACTGTTCGAGTTACATTCATGTATAAAGCGAAAACAAAACAAGAACACCTACTCATAAATACGGCTGATTTATACAAATATTTTTCACTTGATGCGCTAGAAAATCCAAATGCAACGCATGTCGTAATTGGAATTCTATGGGGAGCAAATGTAGCTGCTACATTCGAACGAGTTGTTGAAAATCGTGAAGCTGTGGAACAATTAGAAGGTCAATTGTCGGTAGTATTAAAGAGTATAGCTGGCAGTATTGAAGGCAACGCAAAGGTCAACTGTGGGGATATAAATAAAGCTGCTTTTGAATCATTAACAGTCAGCTTTTCCGGTGATGTATTGATCAAAGATTGCCCACAAACGATCGACGCAGTAATGAAAACATACGTAAATATTCCCGATCTAATTAAACCATTAAATGGTGGAAAAGGACGACAATTGGAATTTGTTTTGTATCCATTGAAACGAATTGCACAAATGTTTAAATTTGAATTGAAAGTTGAAAGGTTGGTAAAGAAAATTTTTGAGAAACCCGTAATTCATTGAAATCTTTTGTTTTAGATTAATCAAAGAAGTATCAGAGCATTTAGTCTTTCGTATTGAAAATATTTTTGAGCAAATATCAATGACAACAAGAAAATTTAACGATTTTTTGGATGTTATTAAACCATGGGAACAATATATTCCTAAAGATTGGTTGAAAGTAATTAAAGAGAAAAAAGCGACACATGCCGGTGATGAATTGAAAACACAACGTCAAATGGCATCTTTGTTGCAGAAAATTCGCTCAGGCACTACTGAAGAATCCAAAATGGAAGAACTAATCGATAAATTTGATCTTGAAAATCCGTGCTCAGAACTATTAATGGACAAATTTTTGAAAGAAAATCAACACGTGAAGACAAAAATTGAAACATTGAAAAAAATTAGTCCAGATCAATCTCTGCTGTTGGCACAGATCGAATCTGTTGAGGACATCATATTGGATTTCTACGATAATGATGTGTATCTGCTGCATATATGCGAACAATGGTCCAAGAAAAATAAACGAAATATGTTAAAACAAGTGCGATTTTTTTCGCAATTGAAAACAAATTATATGAATGACATTTTTCGGGTGATCGATCATGATTTACATCCGAGTTTGGATGAAAAACCTGACGATTATGTTATTTATTTTGCAACGCAAGGCTCAATTGAATCGTATAATTTTTGGAAAGATTCACTAAGTAAGTTTCTGATTGATAAGAGAATTTTTCATCTGAGATGCAGGTACATTTTCGAGCAAAGTTTTGATACCTTTTGTGAAGTACTCCGGTCTTACTAAGTTATCTAAAACGCAAAAGAAGGATTATCATTTTGTAGAAAGAGGAAAATACATATAATTGTCCTAAGAAATATCAAACGTTAATTCCCTTCGTTTCCAATCCCGCGCCTTAATATTGTCAGAAATGTTTAATCAAAGAGGGCTAGAATCGCAGCTGTTAGCTTCTGCATCCAGTAGAAAAGATTTTAAACTTTGGGACCCTATTTCTCTATACTGAGTACTTGTTTTACATTGTCAAACTTTGTGTTTATTTAGCAAAACTGAACCGTACACAAATTTCATTGATTTTGAAACAAAATGCCAGCCTGACAGAACAGAGTCTATTGAAGTGGCATGCTGAATTCATGAAAGAACAGTAAGTGCATCATAGTGGTGAAATTTTAGAATGGTTTCACGTCTAATGTATATTTAGTCTGGATGGTGAACTCTCAAAGGACGATTTCATCTCTGAACTTGTTAAGCTTTTTCCGAAGTAAGTGTGCTAATATCAAATATGTGTGATATAACGCATACGCATATTGCTACTGTAGTTCAACGGTCATAAATATACAATTGCTGGTTATCTCATAGATTATAATTAGAGTCGGTCTGGTAGAGGCCATTCATTGGTTGAAATTTTAAAACTTCCTCACGTGACTCTCCTTTTAGTCATAAAATTAAGGCTTCACGTATTTCTCAGAGCAAGTAAATAATACGGCACGTATTACTCAGTTTTTACTAATCATGTGTGGGAATATTGTCGGTACAGCTAAAAAGGTGGACATTCAGTGCTTCAAGACAGCGTTTCAATTATACACTGACTTCCTTCTACCTCAAATTCGCATAGAATCAGGTTAGTGTAGAATTGAAACAGGATGGAAGTAGAGTTTAAATCGTTTTAAAGCAGTCTGAAATACTAATTTTTTGCCTTCTTTTTACCTTGTGGTGATATCAAACTCTGTTTGAACCCGTTATGTGAAGTTTATCTCTAATGTTCTCTCAAAATATTTCATTTCTGGTGAAATTCTAAGAATCGATTTTTTTTCAAAAACATTTGTTGGTTTCTGTCTGGTTTATAATCGAATTTCGGCCGGTCGGACTGGTTTTGAGCCATTCCTACCTAATGTTTGTAACCTAAATTTCTAGAGGAAATCCGGCAAACTACTGTGATTATGCGTTTTCGACCATCGACATCGACAAAAGTGGCAAAATTAGCTTCGTCGAATTTATGAATGCTGTTGCTCTTACACAACCAGGCGATTTAAAAACACGTCTTGGTTTGGTTAGTGTTAGATAGGTTTCTCTATCCACCCTAATAGTATTCAGTTCATTTTAAGGTATTTTCGGTTTGCGATTACAATAATGCTCAAACTATCGATGATGGAAAAATTGTTAAGTTTCTTGAAGTTATAGCGGAGCTGGAACATGGCGAAGGTGCGGTGAATACGAACGCAGCAAAGTCCGTTGCCAGAGCAATTATGGAATTATGTGGTAAAAGTAAAGATGGAGCAGTGAAAAAAGAAGAATTTATTGACTGGTAAGCTTTGACAAACAGCTTTTAATTTCTAGAATGGAATGAGATTGCTGTTAATTTAGCTGTGAACGAAACTATGATGATCTCGCCGTACCATTTTTGCCTCTTACAGAAAGTAAGTTACTAAGTTCTTGTTCATCCGCTTTGGAAACGAGACTTTTCGACACCAGCTGAGGAGAATAGCAAAGACTTTGAGATCATTTTGCGCTTGACCAAAAGAAAAAGGGCATTGTCATTGCACAATTATTGACGATGAAGACACGGTTCTGATCTGCCTGTTTTTTTTATTCAATTGCCTGATTTGTCGTTCAAAGAAGTTGTCCTATTTGATCTGATCTGAGAGATGAGCTTGTTTTCGATCTTTCGTTGAACAGTTCTCGTCACGTAGGCCAGAAGAGTTTTTATCGTTCGGATGAGTGGCTTGAAGATCAATCAAAAGCAATAAATCTTCTTCGTATCTGTTCGTTCTAATTGTTGATTCCAATGTATAACCGTTTGAATCCGTCATACAATGGATCTCACGTGAGATAGAGACTGCTGTTTGCTAAAGATTGAAATAACGAAGTAGGGTGAATCCGCCGGGTTTCTACCACTTTTGTGGAAAAATTTTTTTTTCACGATTTTGATAGTCTAGCTAGGCGGGGCATAGTCGAAAACGGTCTGAGGTAGCAA